CCAGCTGCTGCCGGGAAACACTAGTGATTGTTACCTACCCGCTGTCCTCCCAGGAGCTGCCGCTAGACACCTCTGTGGCCTGTTTCACCTCGTCAATGACTCACTTTCTGACAGTATATATTTAGCTTGACTTCAGCAGGATGGGATGGAGAAAGGAGGGTTTCCAGCTGGGAAGAGCTGCTGGAGGTCCGAAGCAGACGGAGGTGTCTGTGGCCGGTGCTGGTTCCAGTTTGCCGTGTGCGTCTCTGAGGCCTGCCTTTGACAGTTGCTCCAGGTCTGTGTTTCCTGCGCATTCTGGCGGAGCCTTGTTCTGGTGTGTAAAGTTTCGGCCTTGTGGACTAAGGCCCACTGGGAAGCAAAAGTAGCCTCTTTTGTATTTAAAACACAGTATCTGTTCATCATCCAAACAGTCTTTTGGGGCTGGGGAGATAGTCGGGCGGCCTAAGTGCCTGCCTGGCAAGCCCGGGGACCTGGGTTCAGTCCCTGATACCACATGCCGTGTGTGCCTGGAACCCAGGCTCACCATGCTGGCCACTGAGACTGGGCATGGTGGTGCACACTTGCACTCCCAGTGCTGGGGAGGCTGAGACAGGAGGATCACTACGAGTCCGAGCTGCCTAGTGAGATCCTGTACTAAATACATAAATGGGAAAAAAAGAAAAAATCTTAGGAAGCCAGCTGAGTAGATACCCAAGTAGGATCAAGACTGCCTCTTAATCTACCTAGTAGGCACCCTATTAGCTGCTACAGATTGTGTGTAGCTAGCCTTTGTTCTCTCCTGAAGGAGTTCCTTTTTAGTTTTTGCCTCCTGATTGTGTGATCTGCAGTGGTTGCGCTTTTTTAGCCTTGGATATGTGTGTATTGACTAGTGCTTAGCAGCAGTCAGCAAATGGCACTGTTGCAGCTTTGTCCTTGGTCTAGTCATTGTTTTGGCTGCCAACTGCTGCTTTTATTTGGATTTCTTAGTTTTTGGCAAGGTTCTATGGATTCTGGCAAATCTTTTTCATTTACACCCTTGGGGTAATTTTGGGTTTTATTTTTTAAGAAATTTACACGGCAGTGTTGGGCCTGGACCAAAGAGTAAACTGGTTTTAGTTTTTGTTTATTTTTTAGATTAGGTCGAGGCTGGCCTTGAACTCACAATGTAGCCCAGGCTGGCCTCAGATTTAGGGTAATCCTCCTGCCTCAGCCTCCTGAGTACTGGGATTGCAGCATGTACTGCCACACCTGGCCAGTGGAACAGCTTTTAAATAGACTTTATTGAAAGAAGGACTGCTGGTGTAGACCTCTGCTGTTTTAATTTCATAATGGCTAACATAGTGATTAGGTGATAAAACTACCTTAAATACACAATGTAGTGAGTACGCGTGAGGCCTTGTAAGGTGACAGACGCTGAGCTGTGCGGAGCAGGAGGCACTAGGCCGTTGTCGTCTGGGCCATGTCTGACTGCCGTGCTCCAGAGGGAAACTGTTGCTCGCAGCGGTGCGAAGCGCAGGACAAGGACCATCCAAGATACCTGATTCCAGAGCTTTGTAGACAGTTCTACCATTTGGGCTGGGTCACTGGGACTGGAGGAGGGATTAGCTTGGAGCGCGGCAATGAAATCTACATTGCCCCTTCAGGAGTGCAAAGGGAACGAATTCAGCCGGAAGATATGTTTGTTTGTGATATAAATGAACAGGATATAAGTGGGCCTCCAGAATCTAAGAAGCTAAAGAAAAGCCAGTGTACTCCTCTTTTTATGAATGCTTATACAATGAGAGGAGCAGGTGCGGCGATTCATACGCACTCTAAAGCTGCTGTCATGGCCACCCTTCTGTTTCCAGGACGAGAGTTTAAAATTACACATCAAGAGATGATAAAAGGAATAAGGAAATGTACCTCAGGAGGGTATTGTAGATACACTGATATGCTAGTGGTACCCATCGTTGAGAACACTCCCGAGGAGAAGGACCTCAAAGAACGCATGGCTCGGGCAATGAATGAGTACCCCGACTCCTGTGCCGCGCTGGTCAGGCGCCACGGAGTCT